TTTGTCGATGACTTATTTTTATGATAAAATCCCGATAACCAAGAGAATTTTTAAGGATGCACCGAATACACATGCTTTTGGTAGGGGGAATATGCCTACCTTACTAGGAATCGTATGTAGGAAAGAAGGCTTTGTCGATATTCATTAGGAGATTTCAGAGCCAAAGACGATGCCAACTGAGCTTCTAAATGAGCACGCGTTTGCACTCCATCATCAGTTGCCCAACTGAAACACAATCACTTGTGAAATTATACAACCAACACGGTTAAAAGTTCTTAAAATAACTAAAAACCGGGAATTATTCAGAATCATTCCTTTAGCAGGGTTAAAAGTTCTTAAAATAACTAAAAACTGGGAATTATTCAGAATCATTCCTTTAGCAGGTATTAAGTCAAGAGGAATATAATTGAAATTCATGCCATCGACAGAGATAAGATGTCACACAAGTACACAGTATCAAGTCTGATGGCTTCGCGACTTTAGGACAAAACATTGACAGCGACAAACCTGCTCCAGGCTTGCTTACTGGCCAGATATTTCCTGACATTCACTTGCAGTGCGGCCGGCTCACCAGTCTGAGTTAAACCAAATTTCAAGAACTAGCGAAATTAGATGCAAGGAAGCAGTAATCAGCAACCCTCAAGCCAACACATGAGATATGTCAAACAGAAATGCATGCAGAGTCACCAAAACAACTAAAGGAAAACCAGATTTTGATAACTTGGCTGATATTACTTTGATTGTGCCTGAAAATAGTTAAAATGTAAGGAAATAAGTTTAACATCCCAAATGAACAAAACATTATGAGTTGTCGATCAAGTACCATGAAACAAGTCTTCTAAGATCATATGAAGGCTCGAAATATATAAAGTACTTGTACCTTTTGTAGAAGTGTTATGGTCCATCGTGATTAGAGACTCCAATGAATCATGAAGGAGACAATTCCTATTGAAGAGATCCCATAAATACAAAGATCTTTTCCTCGTAATCAATGACAATTTCCAGCTCTCATCACAATCAATAAAAGTTGCTGCAGATCCCACCAGCATCATGGTCGGTAAAGAGCATCTTCCACACTTCGTATAAACCTTCAAAAATATCAGCAAAAGGGATTAAGATGCATTTGCCAGACGAATAATGAAATCTCATCGTACTATTAATTGACTATTGTCCGGAACACACATTAAGAGGATAAAGAAACATAAATTCTACGTGCCTAGAATAAAGATTGAGTTCTTACCTGTAGACACCCATCTTCACATCCAACAGCCCAGAAGTTTGCATTTCCAGCCAAAACAGAGACTTTTCCTGAGATACGATCAGACCAAAGTGTTTGAGCCCCTCTTGTGCACACGATTTCTGTTTCCTTCGTCATACATGCACGCCAACAATGTCATTAACATGTTCCCGTGGACAAGCTTCCAGGCAAACTGGAGTCATATCATCCCCTTCTTTCTTGTCAAATACCCTAATTGAAAAAGATTTGGTAGAGCTAACCGTGGAACCTGAAGGCTGAATTCATGCTTCCGGGCAGTTTTACATTGATTCTACGATCTTGTCCAGTAGAAACTTTCTCAATAATCAGACTGCCACTAACAGTAACCCGAGCAGTGAACCCTGAAGGCCTGAACACTCCTTTAAATCAAAACTTCTACCAATGGTCCCCCTGATAGAAGCTTCTCTTAAACTACCATCAGATGGAACTATGCCATTACCATTTTTTCTGGGATCAGAAGATGCAACGGGGAAATCTAATGCTTGAGATTGAGCAGACACAAATATTCTCCTGCTCAATAGGAACACCAACAGCTTCAGGAATAATTCTCTTTCTACCATCAGCTCTTTTGTATTCTCTTTGTTTCACAGGACTAGACACCTGGGCAGGTGTCACCATTTTATTTAATCTGTCACTAGCAGAAAGTCCGCTCTTCTTTCTATCATTATTTTGAGGCTCAGAACTTTTGTTTGGCACCTGTAACGCAAGAGAGGACTTTACAGGTATCTGGTTCTGCTGAACTTCCAAATCTACTTTCTTGCTAGTGGATTCCTTGGCTGAAGCAGCTTCAAGCAATAATGGTGAAGGGCTCTCCGCCAAATTTTCCTGTCGACCTCTGTCATCACCATAACGACTTCTCTTTAACTCATCAAGTTCAGCATCACTTAGCTTGTGGCAAAGTTCTTTCACTTCAAAATGGAATGTAGCCACCATTCCATCCAATGAACAGGGAAAGAGAGAATAGCCATCGGGCTCCTATTCCTGAAAGTAGATTACAATATATGTATGTATGTATGTATGTATGTATGTATGTATGTATGTATGTATGTATGTATGTATGTATGTATGTATGTATGTATGTATGTATGTATGTATGTATGTATAAAGTATATCTTCACTGAAAGGAAAACTTTTACCAGGATAAATCCACAACACTTTGACCAAAGAAATACTTGGCTACAAGGAGTGGCCGAGGACTTTCAGTTGTCCAAACAGTTACAGTGCGGTCCTGACTCCCGATTGCAATGACATTGTATGGCTATGATTCTTTCCCCCAGATCTTAGCAGCTCCATTTGCCCAGCCTAACAGGAGTGGCTTTCCCTTCTTGCGAATTGGTGGAGCTCCTTCTGAACATCGAGTGATTAAACTTGACTGCAATAACCAGTGCATTGTGACCTAAGAAGTCAAATCTGGCAGCCCATTTCCCTCTGTCAAGAACAGGTGCAGAATGCCTGGGCTTTTGATAACCGTGAGTGGTCGTTATGAAATGGCCACAAGGTGACCATGCAAGCCGCCTGAAAAACGTAGATCCCAACTGAAGAGAATATGTTTTCCATCAGAAAACAAAATTAGAATGTGTAAGACCAAAGAAAATTCCATCAACAGAAATAAACTTACTGATTTTGCCCAGTGGCCCTCTGTTTTATGAGCAAGGCTCCAGTCACTCGTTCGCCATATTACAACTGTCTTGTCATCAGATTGACTCGCTAAGAAATATCCAATGGGATCCCAGGCAACTCCTTTAACGAGACTAGAATGACCCCTAAGTACAGCTGTGCAGATGCCGTTACTCATATTCCATATGTGGATGGTGTTATCCAAACTCCTACTAGCTAACATCGAGTCATCAGGAGACCAATTCAGATCTATACTTCAAGCTCGGAATGAAGTAAACGTCCCAGTTAGACAATATCCAGTGCTTATCCAAAACAGACACATTCAAATAAAACATGTAATTCAAGTGCAAACATCAAGAAGTGTACTTAAAAAGACATGAAAAACAGTATCATTACCACATCTGCACTGTGTCCCCTCAATGTGATTGCAACTTTCCAATTCTCAACATCCGGGGGCTCTCCACTGCCGTCCCAGAACCAGGTTTTCTCTCGTGAACTAGAATCGCTTGATCATCAGACTCTGATGCAAATGAATCGACCGTGCTTTGCCCACCTAAATTTAAGCCGGCACAAAAACAAAACATATCAGTTCACAACAGAAGATGCTTTTTATAAGCTCAATTGGATAGTTTCTAGTCATATATCATTGTAAATGCTATGCATAGTAAAATTTGCAACTCAGGTCACCAGCAGCAGTAACAAAACTAACCCCAAAAGAAAATATCAAGAGAATAAGAAAGAAAAAAAATTACCTTGTGGTCACCTCCACCAGTAGCAAACCTAAGACCAGCAGGCTGAATAAGAATGGAGAAAATCTGCATTCCCTCGTGCCTAATCCAACTTGGCTTCTCAGCAATCATTTTCCTTCTCCTTTGCTACTTCATACCTTTTCAACAAGGAAAAAAAACTATAACTTGAAAAAAAAAAGTTTCTTAGTACCAAAACTTATGCTGATTATGGTTTTTTTTTTTTGAAGAAGAAAATAACTACTTTCGATGACAAAGAAGGCAAAGAGAGTACCCAAATACAAGAACGGGGAAAAAAACAAGAGATCTTAAAAGAAAGGTAGAAAGGGATAAAATTTGGTCTTTTAAAGGTAACAATTTTTTTCTTAGAAGATTGCGAGGAGGGTGACTTTAGATTCGCGAAAACAAAGAGATTTAAACAGATTTATTCATAAATTTTGAAGACAAAAGAAGGAAGAGAAGATAGGGTTTTATTTATCAGAATTGTTGTTTTAATACATTGATGTCTTAATAAGTTTAAAAAAATTAATTTAATCTTTGGATAAATCAAGAGATACACCACTAATTTATACATAAAATTTCAAAATTTGTTATAAATTAAAATATACTTAATAATTTTTGTGATCCTATACAATAAAAATTTAGTCAATCACTTAAATCAATTTATAAAATAAATTTTAAATATTTTAAATATATGATAAAGATTCTCTTATTTTTTTAATGTAACGTCTTAAAATGATATAAGATGTATATATATATATATAAATAGAAGGTTTTAGATTCTAAAAATAATTGTATTACACATTCTATTATACATCTTGATCTTGCAACAAATGGTATCATAATAAACCTTTGATTACTGTGGTTTTATGTCGAGCACCCCAAAATGTAAGGTCAACAAGTTGGACAACTGTCACCAGTGACGTGGGTGTGACTCTTCAACTGTTTGATTTCATGTTAAACGTCCTAATAAGTGAAGTGGATAATTGTGGGCAGTGACGAGGTTGCGACCCTTTAACCGTATGATTTTGCACTAGGCTCTTAATAAGTGAAGCAGACAAGGTGGACAACCATAACTCGTGATGAAGACGTCCCTTTGACTATTTGATTTTATGTTGATTAAATAAAGTGACTAAATTTTACAAGATTGATTATAGGAAAATATCACGTTTTAAAAAGATGGGAAACATTAGTCTCATATTGATAATAAAAAAAATTACACTGTACATCCTATTGAACATGTATTTTAATAAGAGGATAATAATTTTATCACAAAGTTCTTGAAAAAGGAGTCAAATATTAAACTATATAATTATTATATTTCAGATTTTGACGGAAAAAATTTCGTCACTATTCGTTGCATGGGTATAGAAAAATTTATAAAATATAGGGTGTATTAGTGTGATATATAATTTAGTTTTACACATATATTTATGATTATTAAATGAATAAAAATAGATGATTAATGAATTAATTTTAATTGTAAGTGTAAAGTTGGAATTTTTTTCTTCACACAAGCCATATATGTTTATATTGCATAAATCTCACCTTGAAATAAATGAAAATCATATGATCCAACAAGAAGAAAACAACAGGAAGAAGATCACAATTTCGTTGCTTTTAATATAAGTCCGGCCGACGTGAAATTTTATGATAATCACGTAATAATCACGCACAAAGCTTGAGTTTAAAAGAGAGGATCAGACAGTGAGAACATCGACTTCCTCCGTCTTCAGTCTTCACCTCAGTTTCTTCCCCATTTGCGATCCAAATTTCATCGCATTTTCTTCATTGTATTTTCCTTTTTGCAGTTTCCATTTTCAGTTCTGAATATTAACTAAATTATTGTCCCTTATTGCCATTGTTAAAGAAGAAACCATGGAATTTCAGCTCATCAAACAAGACCCACACCCATGTTTCATTTCCATATGCAGTTCATGTTTCACTTTCTGGTAACATTTCCAGCTCCGTGATTTCATCTTTGTCTCTTTTCCTTTCTGGGTTTTCTTCCGGAATAAGAAAACAGTTCTTCTTTCATGAAAAAAAAAAGATTCGACTTTTCATCAATTTCACCAATATGGTTGTACCCATGAAGAGGTCAATTAGGCCATTGATAAGCATCCTAGTGCTTGCTGCATTAGCAACAACCTTAAGCTACCGGATTTTCATCAGCCGCCGCGATGTGTTCACCGCCGCAGCCGAGTTACAACCCGCATCAATCCAAAACTTGAACTTTACTTTGCTTAAGTTTGCAGCCATTGATATAGGTGAAGAAAAATCCAAGCTTGAAATAGACCAGCTTCTTGATGGGAACTTTGATAGTCAAGGAAGATACAAGGCCTATGCAACTTGGAGGAGGTTCAATCAACATGATGCCAAAGCAAGAAACTCTAAAGGATTGTTGGTAATGCTCCGATCCCCCAAATTTTATCGGTATTGGTCGAATTTTAGAAGAAACTTACAGGATTGGGCTAGAAAAAAGATGTTTCAACCTGATATTATGATGGATTTAGTTAGATTAGTGAAGGTCCCTATCGATAGCTCAGACGGAACATATAAGTCTTGTGCTGTTGTGGGGAATAGTGGGATCTTGTTGCATAATCGTCACGGGAAGTTGATCGACGATCACGAGGTTGTGATCAGGTTGAACAATGCTCGGATCGAGAGGTTTGAAAAGCATGTAGGGTCGAAAACGAATATATCGTTTGTGAACAGCAACGTTCTGCATCTCTGTGCTAGGAGGGAAGGTTGTTTCTGTCACCCTTATGGTGATGGTGTTCCTATTGTGATGTACATTTGCCAACCAGTTCATTTCATGGACTATTTGGTGTGCAATGCGTCTCACAAGGCAGATTTGTTGATTACAGACCCGCGTTTCGATGTGTTGTGTGCTAGAATCGTGAAGTATTATTCAGCGAAACGGTTCGTGGAGATAACGGGGAAGCCGTTGGGCAAATGGGAATTGACTCATGATGGTTCCATGTTTCATTATTCCTCTGGACTGCAGGCTGTGATGCTAGCTTCGGGAATTTGTGACAGAGTTAGTATATTCGGATTTGGAAAATCGACTTCCGCCAAGCATCATTATCATACTAATCAGAAGGCCGAGCTCCAGTTACACGACTACGAGGCCGAATACGAATTCTATCGTGATCTGGTGAAGAATCCATATGCAATACCATTCATTTCAGATAAGTTCAGATTCCCTCCTGTGGTAATCTATCAATGATTTTGGCCTGTTTGTGTCTCTTGTTCAAGATTAACTAGCTGGTTTCATGTTCTACAAGTAATTTTCGGTTAGATAGTCAAAAGGAGAAATAAGCCTATTAATTTTTAACGACACAATCTTAGATTTTACGTGTTAGAATCAAGTTGTCCATACAACATATGTACACCTATTTAATTTTGATTTATTTACTTTTAATATGCTTCACATTAGATTAGAATTTGACATTTAATGCTCAAATTGATTTTTTTATTAATGAAAGGACCTAATTAAAACAATATTAATAGTTTGAAGAATAAATAATTTAAGCACTTATTTATAATCTAGACATAGTTTGGGGATGTCTAGTACAATTAACCCATTTAAAGCCGTGATAAATAAATCCATAGTTTGAAGAATAAAGCCGTGACAAATAATATCTGAATTTGATATATTTTTTAATATGCACTCAATTGAATGCTAGCAAAAAAAAAAAAAAAATTCAGCTAGCCCCGTCAATGCTCTTCATTACCGGTTAACTATTGTTTTCATTAACGCAAAGAATTAAATGATTTTTTTATTTTTGTGTTAGTAAAGGTTTAAATAGGTGTAAATTTTTAAAAATATTAAATTAGAAAAAATATATAATTAAAAATATCAAATTTGGGTACCTAATGTGCAACATTTTTAAATTTAAGTACTAAATCGGACAAAAACATAAATACTACCGCATTAAAAAAATCAAATTCAAAAACTAAATTATGTATTAAGCCATAAATAACATGCCTTTACACAATTGAAGATTTGTAAAGTTATAAAGTTTAAAGTGTAATTACTGTATATGACAACCAAATTTTGTTTTATATATGATAATTTGAAAAAACACACTAATGTTTTAGAAATGGAAATTTGGTAAGGTTCCAATTGAAAGCTTTTGCAATTTATAAAGGTCAAAGTGTAATTTACCCAAGCAATGTTTGCATATGCATGACATCAACAAGTTTACTCCGAAAGTTTTAAAACGGCGGCGTATTATATCCGCGCCGAAAAGAATTTTTTTATAGTTATATTACACACGTTTACGGTAATCGCTTTCGTTTTCGTTCGTTTTAGAAAGTAAAAGAAAATGCTGATTTTGATCTGCGCTTGACTCGTTTGATTCCAGGTAATTGAATCCTTGAACCGCTCATAATTTCATCGTATTTTTGCTTAATTCCACTTCACTTCAATTCCATTCTTTTTTTCTTATATTTCACTCTCTCAAGTTTAGGGTTTTCACACATATTCCTAGCTCTCAAATTTTCAAAATTTTCCTTTTGCCCTTTTTACATTTCTTCCATCATTAGTTTGATAAGAAGAGAAAGTGAAGAAGAGAAGTGTATGTTCTTAGTTTTTGTATTTTCTCCCTTTAAAAGAATTGGTCGAAATATTTTTTATTGAGCTTTCAAGTGTTTCCTTTTAGTTTTTCTTTATGAGTACAAATTTATTTATTTTTCTCATTTTTAATTTTTTTTATTTTTTGCTTAATTGGGGATTTAGATTTGTGACTTAATGTTTACTGCTTTAGTACTTGTAACAAGTAGCAGCGGAAAGAAAAGTAGTCAATGTTTAGCATTATGAAAGATAAATTTGAGGTGCATTTTATCTATATTTTTAATTTTCTGACTGCCGTAGGTCTTTCACGGAAGCTACTCTCAACCTGGCGTTGGGGGCAGCCTACTACCCTACCTCCCCTTACCCCATTGCATATGGGAATTGGGTTCTGTTGTTGTTGTTGTAAAGAGTTGATACATTTTGTTTGATTTTCGGTTCTTTATTATTAGAAAAGCTGCTAAAAAGGAAAAGAAAATGGTAAAAACTGGAAGGCAAAATTATTATTGATTTAAAAATGAAAAAAATAGTGAAAAATGCAACACTATATGTTTAACATGTTTGTTCTGTAAACAAGTAATTATTCTAATCCTATTTGTTCTGAAAAAGTGTACATTCATTTTTTAATCCTTCAAATTATAAAGCAAGAACTGAACAGTCTGTTAGGGGATTAGATTATTAGTGGAAGAGAAGCGAGTTACTTGGTTTTGGGAGTAACAATCTTCTGTTCACTTGTGCAGGTTTGGCAGTTCTAAGTTGGTAGAGTTACAGAGAGAAAAATATGTTGAGTTCTGGGAATAATTTAAACCGAGGTAATGTGGGCTTGTCATCAGACATGCCACCATTGCCTCAGTGTTTTCCTTTGGAGCCAATTTCATTAGGCAGTCAGAAATATACTCGGTCTGGGGAATTAAGCTGGGTGTTGGGTGTTCCTCTTCGAAGCAGTCCATCAGGTGATCATTATTTTGGAATTTCACACCCTAAACCTTCCCCTCCAGTGGCGACAGAGGAGCTTAAGAACTTTAAAGAAAGTGTTCAAGAGACAACCAGAAAGGCCAGGTATAGTCTTTCTACAATATTTCACCTGCTGAATAATGCTAAAACTTGGGATGTTCTATATTTTATGCAATATGTTATCCTTTATGAGTTAATAAAGTAACTTCTCATTGTAATTGTGGTGACAGGGAACCTTTAAAGTTAATTAAGTAATGGTAGGATCTATTCCTGGAAACATAATGGGCAAATAACAATCTGCATGGACGTGATTAGTTAGAATGCATGCAATGATCATATATGGTGGTATATGCAATATATCATCGTTGCATTCAGTGTAGATATTCAGTCCTTGGCATTTGCTTATGAAGCTAACTGTCTGGGATCGGAACATACAGCTTTACTGCAAGTCAAATGATTCTTCTCACAGTTTTCTTACTGCACATGTTCTCCATGCATATTTTATATCGATTATGATGCCAGTTATTTGTTAATTCTTGTGGACAGTTTTTAGTTATTGAATCTGCATTGTCTTTCTAACAGGGATAGAGTAAAAAGGCTGCAAGAGTCAATTTCTAAACTGGATAGGTATAAGGAAGCTTTAAGTTCAAAGAAGCGACAGCGAAGTGATATTTCAAGTGAGAGAACTAGTGGAGTGAATATTACAAAGATGGGAAGCCAGATGCATAGAAATGGCCTTGACTTAATGACTCAAAGATTGGAGGATGGGCCAAAGAGTATGGGGCTCAACAATCGTGTTCGCACATCAGTGGCTGATTTAAGGGTTTGTATTTTTTTACTTATATTGCCGGAATACCAATTGAGTGTTTTGACATGTGGTTACGGATATAAAATATGTTAACTTCTACACAATTTCCATAGAAAAATCAGTTGATAACTGCTCAGTTATGCATCAGACAAAGTTTCTATTGGGCTTTGTTCGTTTTGTTTAATGATAATTGGATGTGCTATTTTATGTACAAATAAAAGGAAGAAGACAAAATGGGCCTGAAACTTAAACATAGCTTTTATAGACCCTTCCTTTTTCTCTTACTGTTTAGCTAACCGTTCATTAAGTTTATTCACTTTCTTGTTTTGTCTTCCTTCTCTTCTTTCATGATATAGGCTGGTAAGAGAATTGCCATGAATCCAAGGCAACAGGGGACAATAGAAAAGGGTGGTGATGTGCTTTCAGCTGGTAATGGTGGTTCTGCCCGAATGGAAGGAAAGATCCGCAGATTGCCAGGTGAAGGATGGGAGACAAAGATGAAAAGGAAACGATCTGTTGCAACTGTAGGAAATAGAGTTGCTGGGGGTGACCAAGATAAAAAACGAGTTATGCAACCAAAGCTGAGTTCTGAATCAAAGTTGCGATCATGTGATATACAGGGTTTCAGGTGATTGTCTAGGAATGAACTTGTATTCTAGTTGATGATTTGAGAAAGAACACATCTCATTTTGCCGGACACTGTATATTAGTTTTCGATCAAACTTTATAACCACTTGCTTTTGGTATGCATTCTTGAATGCTTGACAAAGATATTGTTGTTTTCTAATGAAAATTTAGGAAGATTTCTTCTCCTTTATCTTTTGCCTTGTTGCTGTAATTGATTATTTCTTTGTGTTTAGGCTTTTTGTTTATAAATTGTGCCGTTGTGTCATTTTTCAAACCTTGTTCTGTTAAAACTTTTTCTTACCATCATGTTATTTGGCTTTTTATGCTTACAGATCAAAATCTTCCCCAGGAGTTAGTGGAATTAGGAAGTCAGATGGTTCTTTTGAAGCGGCTGGTTCAGATGCCAGCACAGTGCTTAGGAAAGAATTGGAGAGTACCTCTATTCCTCGGGATCGTGCAGCTATGTTGGAGCAGAGGGTTGTAAAAGCAAATAATAAGTGTGTGCTTGCACCATTTTAGTTCTAGCAGTCCGTAGTGTACCTGCAGGAACCATGGCATACATGGTCAACAGCCATCAAAATTTGCATTTAATTTCTTTCATGTATGGTATTATTTTTAAGGGTTTCTCCTCCTTGATTATTGATTCATTAATGCCTCTATTCATCAGGGCGACTTTCCAGGATGACAATCAGGCTAGTGGCCCAAGTACAATGCTAAAGGAAAGGTTTCTGGGGCACCACGAACTGGTTCCATCATGGTGTTAGACTCATCTTCTAAAGTTCACCTCTCATTTGGAGCTTTGCAGGGTTGGGAACAGCCAAATCTAAATAAGATCCAACCATTAGGTGTTGGGAGCAATAAAAAACGTTTGATTTCTACAGGTTCTTCTTCACAGGCCATGTCTCAGTGGGGTGGTCAGTGACCCTATAAAAACTCACTTTCAAATCGAACAAATTTAATGTCTCCTTCTAATGCTGAAGCTCAGATTTCAAATCAAGGCTTTACAGCACTTGATTTTGGTGCTAGGGCATCTATTGAAATTGGTGGATCACTGCTTGGCAGCAGTGTAGATAATGCTACTCCGAGAATTAAGAGGGAATCTGAGAATGTTTCTTCTCCATTTGGGTTTTCTGAGAGTGAAGAATCAGGGGCTGGAGATAACAAATCAAAAGAGAAAGGAATTGATTGTAGTGAGGTTACTTTACCTACATCTCAAAAAGCTGGGTCTTTCTTATTGTCCACGATGAAGAACAAAATGTCTACTAGTGAAATTGGAGATGGAGTCCGAAGACAAGGAAGGAGTGGAGGTGGCGTACCATCCTTGACAAAACCAGGTTTCCTCCTATGAGAGAGAAGTTGGAAAATATTACAACAGCCAAGTCAATACAAAGTGCGAGATCTGCTTCTGATAAAAATAGAAGGTTCTTAAATATTTTCCTGTAGCTTTTGGTATTAGAGTATTTATTTTGTCTTAAGGAAATCTGATGAATGAATCATTTTCTTTGGTTCAGTAAGACAGGGCGTCCACCTTCCAAAAAGCCAAAAGATTGCAAGGCCACAACTCGTGTTGGGTCGATACAAAGTAACGTCTCTTCAGATTATATAGGTATTTACTAGGTCCATGAGATTTTTGTCTTCATATACATTGGAAATTTAGAGTATTGATCTATACTCTCATTATGATTGCTCTAAGAATATCATTCGTATCATTTTGCATGCTATTCCCAATCTCAAAGCTTTGCATGAATGATATGGTACTTATCCAGGTCTATGTGACCAGATATTATTATATATACAAATATTTTGCTCTTAGTGTTAGTTTAACTGTCCACAGCTAATATTTGTGTACTTGACTACTTGTATGGATTTAATATTTCTCTTAATGGAGAGTGTCTTTTTGTTTATTTAATAGTCAAATTTGGAATGAGTTTTAGATTCACACTTTCTGTGTGCATATACCTCTAAACTTTTGTGAACTAAAGACGTCTGTTTAAGATCCATGAAATCTCCTGTTATATTTTTCCTAATGACATTGTGTTCGGGATGGCATGTTCAGGTGAATCTGATGATGATCGTAATGAACTATTTGCAGCTGCCACTTCTGCTCGTAATGCTACTAGTATGTACCTCTCCAGTGAGTGCCATATCCCCACACGAAAGAGAGAAAATAAAAGAAATATGCCTTTTGAGAACTGAGCTTTTGTTGTGGTATATATAGTCTTACCTGTTACTTGGTTTGATAGGTCTTGCTTGTTCTGGCCCTTTTTGGAAGAAAATGGGATCAATTTTTAATTCTGTCAGATCTGAAGACACATCATTCCTTACACAACAGGTACCGTAGGGTTACTAACAGACTTTGACTCATTAATACTTTGGGATTTAATTAATCACAGTTTCCTGATCTATGTTTTGACGTTGAAACAGCTAAATTTGGCCGAAGGGCTTTATGAGAGTTTGTGTCAGATGTTTGTAGATGGATATACTGTTTTGGTAAACTCCATCATCTTATGTATTTCTCCCTAAACTCACTCTCTAAGAACAGTAAAAGGGATAGCTGGAAACTAAGCATAACTTTTTTGACAAATGTTGATAAAAACTCCTTTCATTTGATAGGGTGGTGTGATAACAAAAGATGCACCTACTTCTGTTGAAGAAATTGCCAAAACTAACACTGCAACTGGAGGATTTGGTCTAAAACAGTTTGACAAGGTTACTCCCTTATGCCAAAGAGTTCTTTCTGCTTTGATAGAAGAAGATGAAAGTGAAGAAATTTATACCCTCACTGAAGCTAAGAATATGCCCCTTCACTATGCTAGTGACGATTCCCATTGTGGTTCTTGTAATCATATGGATGTTGAATCTAAAGATAGGGACAGGATTGAATCTGAAGTTGAGTCAAATACAGATTTTCTGTGTCAGAAAAACTCTCTGTTAGACAGACTCTCTTATGATGCTAGCATTACATCTAACACATTTAGGAACTCCAGCATGTCTAATTCTTTACATAGTAGTGAAAGGTGGTTGGGAGATGATGAATTTTCACATTAGGATATGGGGCCTGTCTATTTGATGCTTCTGTGTATTTGATGTCAAATGACTTTGTATTCAATCTTATATGATTAATTTTCCTTTCCATTTTTTTGCCTCCGCCCATTTGCAGCCTTATTTGACAGAGGGAGGGGAAGCAATAAATAAAAATGTTGTTGAACTTAATGTACATCTTTATCAACAGGTTGCTGGTCATAACTTTTAGCGTGTTTAAAAAATATCTGCAACTGGGATTATTCGAGCTTATTTTTGACATTAGCGTTGTTGCTATTTGTTTTCTTTAATTTTTCTTCCCCAAAATCTATTCATTTTACTAAAAAGAAATTTCAGTGTTTGATGTAAATAACATATTAAAACCCTTCTAGCCACTTTTTTCTTCTTTTAAATTGCATTTCTTCATATTTGAACACTTCGTTTTACTAATTTGTAGATTCAGAAAAAAGAAGAAAAAGTTGGGGAAGATTGATAAAGCCATTCAGAATGGGAGAGAAGTAGAGAGAAGGTGAGATAGACAGTTGTCCTCTAGTGTTGTTAATAGCCTTATGAAATAGTGTGCTTCAACTAGAATAATGTGGTTTAATCTGCAGGAACATCGAGCATGCTTCAATGGACCAATTAATACAAATGGCTAACAAAAAACGTTTGGTAATTCTCAGATACCTGGTGCAATTATTGTTTCTACTTTCTAATAACTGAAGCTGTTTAGGCTTAATTCTTTGCCTTCTATTGTTCTGTATATTACTATTCTTTCATCCCAATTTTTAGATGTAAAAGTTTCTTTTCACATGGTTGCATTTGAGAATTGTTTCGCTCATTTTTTTTGTACATGAAGGAAACTAGTGTGTTATGTACAATGTGCAAGCTATGTGATTTTCGGCAAGAACTACAAAAAAAAAAAGAATTACTTTACCTTTCCATATATTTGGCTTGCTAACTGAGCCCTCTTGTGTGAAAATGCTACAGTTTTTAAGGGAATATGATTGCATACAACATTTCCTTGGTCTTGGTGTAGTCAATATATTATTTGTCTATAGACTTTTGTTGGTGAATTTACTGGGAGTGTACCTTTGATAGTTACTTTATTCTTGATTTCAATGATTGATTATAACCTCATATATTTTGTGTTGAATGGTTTATTATTTTACATTTAAAGCGATTTAGAACAAGGTTTCTAGTTTAGTATAATTCATTTACTACAAACGACTTATGCAGGTTTGTTGTGGGGGTCATTCGTCAAAGAGCACAGTTCGTAAGGTTTCAAAACAAGTTGCATTAGCTTTTATCAAGCGAACGCTTGAGAGATGTTGAAAATTTGGACAGGCAGGCAACAGTTGCTTTAGCGACCTGCATTGCAAGATGTCATGTTTTCTGTACAACCAAGCAGCAACGAAGCAAAATCTGTTGAATGTATTGGCTCTGGAACTGCTAGTAATATTTGCGATGAAACATCCGACCATCAAGCAGAAGCCAGGGGGTCAGGTACACACAGTCTAAATTCCATGTTACTTGAACTCAAGTGTGTTGTGTTCGTCCAACATGTATGTGTTACAGTTGGAAGAGATGAGCGGGATGAGAACGATGATTATGAAGAACGAAGGAATTGAGGAAAGTAGAAGCCTAGGGTTAGGGATTGAGGATGGACAATTGGGAATTGAGGCGAGGGAAGGAATGGAAAGAAGGAAATTAGGGATTACAACTTAAGAAGAGGAAAGAATGCACTTACCCTTTGAAGTGGAGCGGATTGTTGAACAGGTTCAGGAGGCATTGGATTCAGTGGAGTTTCATACCCAAGTTGAGTTGAAGCAGCCCAAGATTGGTGGCCCAATAACCTGAAAGGGGAAGATAAGATCAGTTTGTTATAACTGTTATTGATGTAATGTCAGCTGGCATATTTTACAATTTACGTTTTTAGCCCTATAACTAAATAAGATTGGCTGTGAGACATTTGATTTCTGAGATTATGAATGAACAAGCATTTTCTTCTCTGAATTCTCTCTAAATTCTTTCTATTTCTATTACCTATTTTTCGATTTCTCTTCTAATTATCTCAAACCATAACAAATTGGTATCGAGAGCCTCGATTCTTGGCAAGAGTGGTGGTATGCCCAAGAAAAATCAAAACATGGCAGAAGACTTAGCTGGGTTGCAGAAACAGATGGAAGAATTGACAGCACTGGTGAAACAAGGACAAGATGAGTCTAATCCTCCTAAATGGTGGGAGATTCAGGACAACAAAATTTCTTCATTGGAATCTAGGATGGCTACGAATAATGGATATGTTGAGGAAATCTTGAAGATTTTGACTGGGAGGAAGGAGGACCAAAACCAGTCTGCTGAGGATCAGGTACAGACTCCTAACTCATTTAATATGAGTAGTAAACAGCCTGTTAAGGTGACGGTGATTAATGATAAGACTCGGTTTACTTATAAACCTGAGGAGCCTGGAATTCTTAAGTCTAAACCAAGGGAAATGCATGTTCATTTAACTAGCTTAAGAAATGACAATTTGATGGGGGAGAACAGTGTTGTTAGAAATCAATTAATGGCAGTAGAGGTGGATAAAAGAGGTATTGGGGGGTCTTCTAACATGTCAGGGGTAATGTGGTATAGACAAAAAATTGAGCTGCCAATGTTTGAAGGAATTAATCCAAGAGGATGGTTACAAAAATGTCTTAAATATTTTTCTCTTTGTAATATTGCTGAAGAGCAAAGAGTTGAGGTGGCTACCATGTATTTAGCAGGAAAGGTTGAAATATGGTTTGATGGTTACATTATGCAAAAATATCATGTTACTTGGTATGAGTTTGAGGCAGACCTATGTCATAGGTTTAATGACAAATATTTTGCTGACACAGTGGAGGAGTTCACAAAGCTAGTGCAAAAAGGGACTGTTGAAGAGTATCAGGACATATTTGAGGAATAACAGCCACATATGTTATTACAAAACCCTACATTAGGGGAAGACTTTTTTGTTTCTCTATTTGTTAGTGGGTTAAAAGAAGATATTAAAAACAGAGTTAAGGCTTTGGAACCTTAGTCACTCTCTGAGGCATGTAGGCAAGCTAAGTTATATAAGCTGTCTATGGAGTTTGAAAGAAAAAGATTGAGATCAACCTTCAGAAGTTCAACTTATCCAAATCCTATATCTACTCCAAAGCCAAACCAGCTACCAGTACAATAGAAAAATTCAGCTAATCCATCACCAAAGCAGAATTTAATAGATTACAGAAGACAAAACAATTTATGCGTTAAATGTGGAGATAAATTTGTTCCAGTTCATCAATGCAAAATGAAGCAATTGAACATGATGATGGAGGATGACACTGTTTTACCCTCAGAGAATTCACCAGCAGATTCTGATCAAGCAATTATGCAAGAAGAAGAGAGCATAGAAATATCAATCAATGATATTAATGGATGTATTGGTCATAACCCATTGAGGATACAAGGAACAATTCAAGGGAGACCACTTAGTATACTGATTGGCAGTGGTAGTACCCACAGTTTTTTAACACCTCAGTGGGCCGAAGCTGGTAAACAGGTTAATACTCTCTATCCTTTGGTTATTATAGTAGCTAATGGACAACAACTTTACAGTTCAGAAAGGTGTAATGAGGTGGAATGGAAGATGCAAGGGCACTCTTTTATACATGATTTTAGATTACTTCAGTTGGGGGGCAGTGATATGATATTAGGGGTGGATTGGATGAAACTGTTCAGTACAATTTTGATGGACTTCAATAATATGACGCTGAGTTTTGTGCATAAAGGGGAGCAGATTATTATACAAGGTCAGCAACAATCTAATTTTCTGCAGAAGATTTCAGGAGCTACACTATTGAAGATGACAGCTTCTGACTCATCTATTTTGGGACATATAGTCTTATTTTCTATGTCTGAAGGTTCCAAAACTGTTCCTACAGCTATTCAATCTGTTTTGGACCAATATCACTTTGTTTTTACTGAGCCTATACGTCTGCCACCTACAAGGAATCATGATGTGCTATTACTCTTAAACCTGAAGTTGCTCCTATTAATTTAAGACCTTATAGATTTCCACACAATCAGAAAGTTGAAGTGGAAAGGCAAATTGCTAATATGCTATCATCCTCTATTATTCAGCCAAGTAAAAGTCCATTTGCTTCTCCATGTCTTTTAATAAAAAAGAAGGATGGTACTTGGAGGTTTTGTGTAGACTACAGGAAGCTAAATATCATGACAGTGAAAGATAAATTTCCAATTCCTGTGGTGGAGGATTTATTGGATGAGTTGCATGGAGCAGTATATTTTTCCAAAATTGATTTGAGGTCTGGTTATTGGCAAATCAGAATTAAATCTGAGGATATCTACAAGACAACATTTAGAACTCATCAAGGCCACTATGAATTTAAGGTAATGCCCTTTGGGCTTACTAATGCCCCTGCTACATTCCAAGCTCTAATGAATGAATTATTTAGTTCATTTCTTAGAAAATTTGTCTTGGTTTTTTTTGATGATATCCTAGTTTACAGTATCTCTATGGCAGATCATGTGGTTCATCTTCAATTAGTTTTGGAAATTTTGAAAATAATCAATTATTTGCCAAGAGATCCAAATGCTTCTTTGGACAGACTCAAGTAGAATACTTGGGTCATATTATCTCAGCCTCTGGAGTATCTACTGACCCTTCTAAAGTTGCAGCTATGAAGGATTGGCCTATGCCAAAATCTCTAAAATCTTTGTGTGGATTTTTTAGACTAACAGGCTCTTATAGACGGTTTATAAAGGGTTATGGTACAATTAGTAAGCCTTTGACGCAACTGCTCAAGAAGGACAATTTTAAGTGGACTAAGGAGGCTTTATTGGCTTTTGAGAATTTAAAGTATGCTATGTGTGAGGCCCCCGTTTTAGCATTACCAGACTTTGGTAAATGTTTTTATTTGGAGACAGATGTAAGTTCAGGGGGAATTAGGGTTGTATTATCTCAGGATGGGAAACCTATTGCTTACCTTAGCAAGGCACTTAGTCCTAGACATGCTGCTCTATCTATATATGAAAGGGAGTACTTGGCTATTTTATTGTCAGCTTCTAAATGGAGACATTATTTAGAAGGCGGTCCTTTTGTTATCAAAACAGACAATGAACCTCTCAAGTATTTATTGGAGCAGAAATTAACTACTGCTATTCAAAAGAAGGGCTTGACTAAACTGATGGGGTTGGATTACACTATTCTATATAGGAAGGGAAAATCTAATGTAGTTGTTGATGCCCTTTCTAGACAATGGGAAGATCAGAGTCAATGCTTAGCTATGAGTACTACTGTGATCATTCCTAGTTGGGTGCACGAGGTGGAAGAAACTTATAAAGAGGATAAAATGGTTAATGAGTGGATTTCTTTTTTAACAGTTAATCCTAATGTTGATCCTAGGTGGAAATATTCTAAGGGTATTCTTAGATTTCAAAACAGAGTTTATATTGGGGCTAATGGAACTCTAAGGTTACATATTATTCAAATCTTACATGATTCACCCCATGGGGGTCATTCTGGTATACAATCCACTTATCAAAGGATTAAACCTTATTTTTATTGGCCTAGGTTGAAAGCTATGGTAGCAGCTCATATCAAGGCTTGTACATTGTGTCAGCAAATAAATGTGGAGCATATTGCTAAGCCAGGACTCCTACAACCAATTCCCATTCCTCAACAAGCTTGGGAGGTAATTACTATGGATTTTATAGAGGGTTTACCTACATCTTTGAGAAAAATTTGCATTTTGGTGATAGTTGACAAGTTTACAAAATACAATCATTTCCTAGCATTGTCACATCCCTATTCTGCTGCTGATGTAGCCAAATTATATTTGAATACTGTTTATAAACTTCATGGCCAGCCTAAAATGGTCATTTCTGATAGGGACAAAACATTCACTAGTCTCTTCTGGATAGAACTAATGAAGCAGTTAGGGACTAAAACATTATTCAACACTACTTACCATCCAGAGACTGATGGTCAAATAGAAAGGGTGAATCAGTGTTTAGAATAATATTTGAGGGGCCTATGTTTTTTTCAACCAAAACAGTGGGCAAAATGGTTGCCACATGCAGAATGGTGGTATAACACTACCTATCACACTACCCTAAAGCTTACACCATTTCAGGCTTTGTATGATTATAAACCTCCTACTATGGTTTGGCAGACAGATACTATAATATATTCTGTTAGTGATTTACTGACTAGCAGAGAACATATTAGACAGTTGGTAAAATGGCATTTAGAGCAGGCAAGCAACAAAATGAAACAACAATCAGACAAAAAGAGGACAGAGAGGGTATTTGCAGTGGGAGATAGTGTGTACCTAAAGTTGCAACCGTATCGCCAAACTTCACTGGCCCTGCGAAAGAATTTAAAATTAGCAGCAAAGTATTATGGTCCTTATAAAATTATTGAGAAAATTGGGGAAGTTCCGTATAAATTGGACTTACCAGACTTTTCTAGGTTGCATCCAGTTTTTCATGTCAGTCTCCTGAAGAAACATGTGGGTGACTTGGTCATTTCTTCAACTGAGCCTTCTGCGATGGATGATGATGGTCAGATTCGAGTCGAACCGTACAGGGTTATAGGCAGAAGAATAATAAATAGCATGGTTATCAAAATCGGACCGGACCGGCCGATTCAACCGGTTGAACCGTGAACCGGTGGCCTGTCCAGTCCAGTTACCTCACAAAACCGGCCTGGCAATGAACCGGTTGAAAACCGATAGAACCAGCTGAAAACCGGGGTGAACCGGTTGAAATCGGTTTGAACCACCAGTTCACTTTTTTTCTTTTAAAAAAAATTAAACAAAACGACGTCGTTTGTTCAACGAGCCAAGTCAAATTTAAGTATTGATGAGCTCGACTCGAACTCGAAAACTTTAAAAGTAAGCTCAACTCGACTAAAAAACTCACGAGCTAAAAATTATCAAGTTCAACTCGAACTCGAAATATAATATTAAAACTTGAACTTGAAAAGACTCGAACTCAAAAAAAATTTAGAAGTTCGATTGAAGCCTAAAATTTGAGCTCAATTGAAGCGAAAGAATAGTTCGCTCTGTGCTCACCAAAAGGCTCAATGATTTTGAATGTCAAATTAGCTCTATTATTTATAGAAGTAAGTTGGGATGCTCTTCTATGTTTCTTAGCCATGTGGGATTGCTTTGTTCTCATATTTTTACTCTTCAAACTTTTGGGATGCTCTTCTATGTTTCTTAGCCATGTGAGATTGTTTTTTTTTTAAATATTAAACCAAATGACATCATTTGTTATGATTTGTAAGCCCCAATTTTATTTTTTTTAATTATAGTTATATAATTATATTTATTATTTAATATGTTTTACCTTAAATATTATGTTGTAGTTGATTTGAATCATTTTGTTTCACTTGATTTTATGGTTTTTAATTTATATATGTTATGACTTGTGATATTTTTATACCTTTTAATATTGTAAACTTAAAAAAATGTTACATATATATTAATATTACTTTGAATATTAAGTAAAATTTTTAAAAAAATATTTTATATAAAATCCGATTCAACCGCGGTTGAACCCGGTTGAACCAGTGAACCAGTACCTTCACTGGTTCAATGTTCGGTCCGGTTTTAAAAACATTGATAAATAGACAGAACATACATGTGACTCAGTTGCTGGTGCGATGGAGAAACCTTAATGAAACCAATGATTCGTAGGAGGATTATACTGTTCTCAAGGACCAGTTTCCAGAGTTTGATCCTTGGGGACAAGGATCGATTCCAGCGGCGGGTATTGTTACAGTTGGAAGAGATGAACGGGATGAGAACGATGATTATGAAGAGAATGAAGGAATTGAGGAAAGTAGAAGCCTAGGGTTAGGGATTAAGGATGGAGAATTGGGATTTGAGGCGAGGGAAGGAATGGAAAGAAGGGAATTAGGGATTATAACTGAAGAAGAGGAAAGAATGCACTTACCCTTTGAAGTGGAGCGGATTGTTGAACCGGTTCAGGAGGCATTGGATCCAGTGGAGTTTCATACCCAAGTTGAGTTGAAGCAGCCCAAGATTGGTGGCCCAGTAACCTGAAAGGGGAAGATAAGATCAGTTTGCTATAACTGTTATTGATGTAATGCCAGCTGGCATATTTTACAATTTACGTTTTTAGCCCTGTAACTAAATAAGATTGACTGTGAGACATTTGATTTCTGAGATTATGAATGAACAAGCATTTTCTTCTCTGAATTCTCTCTAAATTCTTTCTATTTCTATTATCTATTTCTCGATTTCTCTTCTAATCATCTCAAACCATAACAATATGTCAAAGTTTTTGAAGTTTTTTCGTGTATTAAGACTCATGTTTGAATGTATCGGATACTTAAGAAAGAGTGAAGAAGCTAAGAAACATAGCTATAATATGTTATTCAAGGGAATGGATTTGGGAATTTATTTTAGGCATTCAGAGCATTATATTTTAGGGGTAGAGAAATTTAGAAAGTAAAATGATAAAATGGGTTTTTTTCTCAGGCTTATTTATGTCCATCTCTCTTCTGCCTCAGGTGCTGTTTGTAGTACTTTTGATCGATATGATTCGCTAGATGCTCCTCCGGCTTTTCACTCGTCAGAGCATGCTGTGTCCAAGTATGGATCTATGTTGAACAAAGGGAGGAAGAGGGAAGTACTGATTGATGATGTTGTTGGTAGTGTTTCATGTAGAGTAACACCAGCTCTTGACAGCACCGTCGGAGGGCTAAGAGGAATTAGAAGTGAAAGAGAGGGAGCAAAGCAGAGACAATTTAGGAAATCCTAGTTCGGTATCTGTGGCTGGTCGGTCATCATTGGATGGTGCCAAGGGTGACAGGAGAATGAAAGCAAAGCCCAAGCAAAAGAATAATTCAGCACATGGATTCAATGGAAGGTTTTCCGATCCCTCTTTGGCTAATAATTGCAAGACGAGAGAGAGAAGTGAATAACAACCGTCTGGATTCATCTAAAGAAGCGGATGAGCCTGTTGATTTCACAAACTTGCAACTAACGGAGCTAGATCCCATGGAAGAATTGGGTGTTTCAAATGACATAGGTGGTACTCAAGATCTGAGTTCATGGCTGAATTTTGATGAGGATGGCTTGCAAGACCATGATTCAATAGGTTTAGAAATACCAACGGATGACCTCTCTTTTTTTCTTCACTATATAAATATCTCAACCATTGAATCAAATTATAAATCAGATCCGACAACCAAAATTCCAACCCATTTCATATGTGCCCATCTCTAATTCTAATACAAATATAAATATACAAGATATTACGAGAGATTTAAAAAAAATGTGGGATTTATTATTATTATAATTAATTGAAGTGAGAGTTAATCAATTTAATTAGTTCGATATTAAAGAATATATATAAAAATGAAACCTATATCGTTAGCCTTGCTGTATAGTGTGATTGGTTAAGGCTTTTGTACTCTTGCAAGATGGTTTATTATTAAATTAATATGTAAAATGAAGTTATGTTAATACGTCTGTTGTAATGTGATTGACTATAGCGATGAGTCTGAGTTTTAATAAAAGCCATGAACAGATTCAGTGGGTTCCGACGTCACATGCATACGTACTATGTTTATTATTTCATACGTAATGTATTATCTTGAGTCAAGTTAGTTAAGTAAACCACGGGTAAATAGGCATCTCGACATAGGTACCGGGACTTGAACGGAATGAGAAAACCTTAACAGCCAACCAAAAGATACGGTCTTGGATCAACAACCCCGAATCAGGTAGAAGTCTAAGATGACAAGTGAAAAAATCCCGCTTCTTTAGTTTTGTATTTCATCATTTATACCTTCCATAATAAATTCATACCCACTTGTTCTTTTTCATTGTTTTTCTCGATGGGTTTTTAATTCTTTGCAGATGTTTGGTGTTTGAGCACAAATCTCAAGAATTGGTGTTTATGCTGCTGATATGGCTGCTTCTTTTGTAACATTTGCCTCTCAACCATCTGTTAGAGATTATAGTTTGAAAAAGAGGTGGATCGGTAAATCTAGTTTCTTGAGATGTTTCAATGCAGATTTGTCAAGGTTTTCAAAGCTCAAATGTTCTATTAATTCTCATAATGTTGGTCCGATTCATAGTGAAGAGTCATTTCTGGATTTGCACCCTGAGAAATTGAAGCTTGGTGGCCAAGAAAACGATTCATTTTCTAGCTTGCTAAACATCAATGAGAGCTCGATGGGATCTTGCGTTCAAAGTTACAACTGTGGTGAAGCTAGGATCAAAGTTATTGGCGTCGGAGGTGGCGGGTCTAATGCCGTCAACAGAATGGTTGAGAATTCACTGAAAGGCGTGGACTTTTTGATCGTTAACACGGATGCTCAAGCCTTGAAGATGTCTCCTGTGATGCCTAATAACTGTTTGCAAATTGGCCAGGAGCTGACTCGGGGTCTTGGTGCTGGTGGGAAGCCAGAAATAGGCATGAATGCCGCCGACGAAAGCAGGGAAGCAATTGAGGAGGCGGTTCACGGTGCCGACATGGTCTTCGTGACGGTAGGTTCTATTCTATTTGATGTTGTTTTATTTGATTTTGGATGTTGTTTTACCTCGGGACACATTGACCCTGCAGGCTGGAATGGGAGGAGGAACCGGCACCGGTGGGGCTCCGGTAATCGCAGGCATCGCAAAATCAAAGGGAATATTAACAGTTGGCATTGTTACTACACCGTTCTCTTTCGAGGGTCGGAAGAGGGCAGTCCAAGCTCAGGAGGGAATTGCAGCCCTGCGCGAAAATGTCGACACGCTTATCATTATCCCCAATGACAAGCTATTGGCTGCAGTTTCAGAGGGCACCTTAGTGACTGAAGCATTTAATCTTGCAGATGGTATACTCCGGCAAGGTGTTCGCGGTATATCCGATATAATTACGGTACGTATGCGAAAGCAAAACCACATTTTATCATACATTCTCAATAGGTGAATTGGTGCCTAGGCTACTAAAGACTCGTCTAAGCTGTTACAATTGGATTCCATCAATATGTCCATTAGAGGTTTCCTTGCATTCATCAGTTCTTAATCTGATTCGAGTTTCTTGAACCAGATTTACTCATCGATTCTGTTCGGCATTTTTATGTTACTGTCAGCCTAACAATTGCAGAATCCAAATCCGTATGCAGGTTCCGGGTTTAGTTAATGTTGATTTTGCTGATGTGCATGCTATCATGAAAGATGCAGGTTCTTCTCTAATGGGGATAGGAACTGGAACTGGTAAGTTCTGCTTCAGTCCCATAATTTAATCTATGTTTATCAATGCGATTATTTGAAGAAAAAAAAAACAGTCGAAATAATGTAGCTTTCGGATATTCAAAATGGTTGTTATAAGTAACAACATTTATCTACCTTGCAGGCAAGAGCAGAGCCAGAGATGCGGCATTGAACGCCATCCAGTCACCTTTGCTAGACATCGGGATCGAAAGAGCTACCGGTATAGTCTGGAATATAACTGGCGGATCTGATTTAACTTTATTCGAGGTAAGCCATAGCTAATTGGCTTGTACAATATGCAAACTTTGTTCGTGTTGGAATGTTTTGAGACAAATCGTAGTTAAATCATTTGGCCATTTTTCGACAATTGTAGGTGAACGCTGCAGCAGAGGTCATATATGATCTTGTAGATCCGAAAGCAAACTTAATATTTGGAGCCGTGATAGATCCATCACTGTGTGGACAAGTAAGTTTGAATTGTTAGAATGAAAGAAGCATCCATGGATTAAAATCAGTAATGAAAACGGTGAGAATAATACATGGTGTTGATACCTGTAGGTGAGCATAACTCTGATTGCCACAGGATTCAAGCGCCAAGAAGATAGCAAAGGCAAGGCAAGTCTTTCCCACTTCATCTCTTTCCAATATTTTGAACTTAGGCCCAACTTGAATAACTCCATCGAACGTGTAGGAAAATCAGGGTGATGGTCTTAATAAACGTTTTCCTTATACCCATGATGGTTTGCTAGAGATTCCCGACTTCTTATGGAAGAAAAGCCGTTCACGTTCAGATTTTCTACATCTCTGATTTTATTTTGCTCGAATGTAATTAGTCTTTCTTTTTCCAGAGGGTTAAAATAATATGATGCACTTCATACTCATGTTTGTTTGATTCAGATATAAATATAAAATATCATAATCCTCCATTAATAAATTCTTCAAACTCTTTTTATTCAACTCATCATTACAAATAACATTAATATATTTTGAAATTATACAACCTAACATATATGAAACAAAAATAACACAGTGAAAACATTAGAATAAGGCCAACAATCAGAAAAGAACATAGGGTTGGATTTACAAAGTCATCAATCATATGAAACAAGAAACGGAATGACCATGCACAAGAATGAATCATATGAGAGCGTCGCTGAGCCTCTATATTCTTTATCCTTCTCCTTGAATTTGTCCGTCAATCCCTGAAAATTGCAACAAAATCTTCCATCAAACAATGCCAAATCACTGAAACATATTTCTGTAGATTTTATACGAAATGCATGTTATTATCAACCGATTCTGAACCGGTCGAACCTACAAACATTTTTCAGATGAATGGAAAGAGCTAAAAAGAAAGGAGATAAAGGGAGTGAGCAATGTCACCTTAACAATCATCCCACATCTGCAAATAAAGAAGACGACGAGAAAACAACATCAGTTGGGTTACATTTCAAATCTTTGAAAGAAAAAAATTGCATTGGAAAATGAAGAGAAGAGACAAATAATTGTTGCAGAGAAAGAAGCCTTACTCGACAAAACTGTCGAAATCAAGTCCAGCCTTTCCAGTTCCATTATCGTACTTGGAAATTAGAACTTGAAAAACAGAAGGTGGAACTGCATATCCAAGACTGTATAGAGCATCCCTTAGTTCCATCGAATCAATTTTCCCACTTCTGTCTCTATCGAATCTCTCGAATATAGCCTGCAAATTTCGAATTCCATTATCATTAATAAAATGATATTAACACGAGTACCATGTCACTAGAGCACAAGAATGTTAGTTACAAGTATGTTCACAAACGAGCATGTTCAATTTTTCTAAGTTAATCTACATATTTGAAAGGTGCTTCAAAGATTATATCTTCATACATACGCCCGGATATATGTCAAACACTAGGGTTAGATGTGAATATGTAAAGTAAATGGAAAATCAAAGCAAACATATAGAAGATGTAGACCAAAATCCAATCTTAGGGAATGTTTAATCAACTTACCCGCCAATGACCAAGGCAGCTCCAGAGTGAAGCAAACTCCGCAGGCCCTAAAATTGAAATTTTTGGCAACAATCATTTGATTAGATACCATGTTTCTATAATATAAATGACATAATAAATAAATAAAATACTATATTACGTAATTGAAATGAAAGGATTAGACTCAAAATTTTGAATGTTGATGAAGTCAAAACCCGAATCAATGTCTAATTTCTTGTCCAAACTCGATTCTATAGAACCTGGGAACTTTCCAACATTGATAAACACCTTGACTATTTCCCAAAAACAATTAAGAACCATTGGCTTATTTGGGGATATATCATGAAAAAAATTTAAGGAAATGTTAATAGGCTGAAATTATCTTGGAAATTATGGAGTTTTTTTTATCATAATTATGAAAGTTGTCTTGTCCCCAGATGTTGACAACTTTGATAAAGTTGTCCTCTCATGCATCTTAAGGAAAAAAAAACTTGTAAGTCATGTGTTCCTTTTTTGGGCACAGTCCCAAAGTCATTCAATTTGATCCCTATCTATTTTTTCGTTCATTTTATCCAAAGTAGCTGCCGATGACTTTAGCTTCCAATTTTTTTAACACATGATTTTGACAATTACAGTAGAAATCAACCTAAATTCCAAAACAATTTCGGATTATCACCGTTTCCCTTTTTTTATTAACCAGGATATTTGAAAAGGGTAAATTCTTGAATGCAAAAAGCAGTGGCCATTATTTAACTCAATGGGTCCATCAGAAAAAAGCATAGCAAAAAGGGAAAAAATCATTAGTGTGCAATTATCACATGAATATTACTATCCATAAATGCCTTATCCCAATTCAAATTTGAATCTAATAGCTTTACATTTAAGCAAACAAAACACTATGGAGTTCAATCAATAGAGCCATTAACTCTTGGATTCGAGTCTCATTTATGCAAATAATTTCTTCAAGTTAATGATGAAATTATATCAATAATGAAACAAAGAAAGGAATTAACTTACCAATTCTGAGGGAATCATAAGGATTCTTGAACAAGAACATGAGCAACCTTATAGTCCTAAGATTAAACCTCTGGTAACCCGAAGATAGTGCCTGCTGCAACTCATGTTCATCGATGAATCCACTTCTATCCCTATCCACCATTTGAAAAGCTCTTACAACATCCGGCTGTGTTCCCGCTGGAAACCCACCGCTCTGCCCGTAAATTGACGAAGGCTGTCCGTAATAGCTCTGGTACTGTTGCTGCTGCGGCTGGTGGTAGGACTCTGGAGGCAGCTCTGGTGCTGACGGCGCCGTGGAATGAGATGAATTGTACCTTGAAAATACCATTGATTTCAAAATTTCAAAGGCAAATCGCCCTTTTCTTGGATTTTCCCCTCTGTAGTTATCTGATAAATTGAAAATAGCAGCTCTATGTCGATATCTTTGTATGGATTTTCGGTCGTTGGCGGTGGTTTGGTTTGTGATCTCTGCTATTTATAATACAATATTTTTTTGTTGTATATTGATTTAAATTTTGTTGCAAAATGTTACAATTTATTTAACAATTAAATTTATTAAAAAATATAACATATTAAAATTTAATATGTTTATATTTTTCGTGATTTTTATATAATGTTTATATATATATATATAAAGATTAATAAAATAAATTTTATTGATTTATATATTAAATATTAATTTTAATTTATAAAATTTAACCATGTGTATGATTACTAATTAAAAATATCATGTAATTTTTTCAAAATAATATTTCTTATAATTAGAGTTTTTTTTTCAAATTAAAAATTAAAACTATATTGTGATAATATCAAATGATATTAGAGTATCTTTTGGTATAAAGTAATTATTATAGTGCTGATTGAAATATGTATGAATTAGATGATGTTTGTTACTCCATTAGAGAAGATATTATATCTTCCTAACCACTCCCAGATCACGAAAATAAACACCCTACTACAGAAAATGATTCTCTCACCACCCGAACTGAATTAATCTTTTTTCTCATAAAAGAAATTTTTACCGATATTAACTCTTATTATTTTATAATGATTATTATTCCATATAAATTAAGTAATAATAAATCTACATTATTTTTTTTATCATAATACAAGCGCCGCGTGGTGAAGAGGACACCTAATTTACGTAAGCGCGTATGACACTAGCGATTAGGCGGAAAATAAAATATATTCATCTATTTTTATATTCGATAAATATAATAATTTCTATACATAATATTTTAAGCATAAAGAGATGTTATATCTATAATACTTTTAGTAATTTATAAAAATTAAATGAAATTAAAATTCCATGTAACAAAACCAAAATTAAAAGTCGACTTATAACAATACACATCTGATCAAACCCAAACTTGGGAAATCACCTCTAAACATAAAAATATGAATATCAACAAGGTCATACAGATTCAACAAGACGCAATTATTTTCCTTAAAAAACCTCAAAAACTAGGCATTTAGCTGCAAAACCAACAATTTATGGAGATTAAAAGGGGCATTGGTCAAACAATTCATTCTATTACAAGCAAATCAATATGGCCGATATCGCCTGCCACTATCACCGCCGCTGTGTTTTCCTCTGCTGCTTGAACTGCCACCGCCTCTACTATGTCTCTGATGTACAGGCGGGCTTTGAGGTTGTTGCACTCCCGGTTGTTGCCTGCATTAATAGTCGGGGCCTCGGGGGTTAAAAGGAACTATCTGGCTTTGCATGGAAAGAAGATGATATGGATTTTTAAAAGTCCGAAATATTGGAAAGAAAATTAAGTTACTGATCTTACAGAACATATCCAATCCGGCCATCGGGTAGAAGCATCGGCATCATTGACATGCCGGTAGTCGTTGCTCCCCTTCCATAGACTAAGGGCTGTAGGAGTCGAAGTTTTTTATATCAGATTTTCTTTCACAATACTGCTCAATGAGCAAAATCAACACGAACAAAGTTAACGGCATTCAAGTAGCCATCGGCACTTGAAAAAAAAAGAAAATATAGTATATTTTAACATAAAACAGAAAACAAAAGAGAGAGACAGGCATCCCAAACTGTGATTTTAATACTGTAGAGGAACTTATAGCCATAAATTATACAAGTGTCAAAGGTGCTCATGGGGATATCTCCGATATTCCGACTAGGTAAAATGAAGAGATTAGAAAGAAAATGAAGATATGGAAGCTTCTTAGCACGATCCTATACGTGCACAGACAAATATCTCACCTGTGGAAGGCCTGCAACTCCGTATCCTGGAGTTAGAGCACCATAGGCACCCCCAACCAGACCATACCCAACCTGATGTGGATAACTAGGAAGAAAACCCGAATTCTGAGAACTTGACCCCCCAGATGTCTTTTGATCTACTTGTGGCTTTGCAAGAGAACATTCCACAACTTGGCCTGAGAAAACGGGACAATTAACATTCGGAATTACAACCAATAAACAAAAATGTAAAATGGATAAGAACTCAATAATCACCATCCAATTCATATCTTTCTGTGTTCTTGATTGCTTTCATGGCACAAGATCTCTCTGCAAAGTGAACAAAACCAATTCTATTTCTCTCTTGTCCAGGTTTTGCGGGAGGCAGAACCACTTTAGTTATCTTTCCATGATGTTCAAATAGCTTCTTTAACTGATCTTGTGTCACGTCCTTTGGCAAATTCTTTACGTAAACTGCCTTTACCTACATAAAATAGGTTACCTTAAATTAACAAATACAAAATGCGGTAAGGAACACACCAACATTCCTCAATTTGAGAGACCCAACACAAAAGAGCGTAAGAGATAGATTAACAAATCATCCAACAAGACATGCATGAAAGAGAGCAACTTAATGATACCTGAGAAGCAGCAGAACACTCGGCATTCTTAGGATCAGCCCAGCTCACAGTAGGAGCATTATCACCAAGCTTGAATTCCGGGTTCATCATCTTCTGCCTTGAATACTCAGCACATGCATTATTATGGTACTCAACAAAAGCAAAGCCCCTATTATTACTTGAGTTCTTTATATCCTGCAGGCACAAAAGCAAATACAGAGGTCACAAGTATCGATTACCTGAAATACTAGGGACGAAAACACAAATACATAAGGCCATTAAACTAACCTTTACTAATTCCAAACCAGTAACTCCAGGCCCAACCTTTGACACAACCTTCCTCAGGTCTTCCTCACCCCAGCTTCTCGGAATATTACCAATAAACAATCGATGCTTTGATTGGGAAGTAGAACACCTAATTTTTTTACCCTGAGAGAGAGAGAGAGAGAAAGGCTGAAAAGTTACTCTACAACCAAAGAAATATAATTGAAAAGACCAAACATAAGAAGAAAGAATGTTGTTGTCAGAAACAATGAGAAAATGGAGATGGATACACAAATAATCTGTAAGTTGCCTTTGAGGTTAAGTGATGTAACATTTTTTAGTATGGATAATAATGACATGAGTGATGCATAAGAAGACTTGTCACCTTAAATTCCGCATTATTTAGCTCGTCAATGGCTTTGTTGGCCAATTCTACGCTTCTAAAGGTCACAAAAGCAAAGCCCTTGTTTTCACTTGAATCTTTACCTTTCATAATGCGAACCTACCATCATAAAGCACGATGCATCAGTGTTAATCTCAAAAAAAGGAAAATAGTTTCTCACATTCAGCAAAAAAGAGTACCTCGGTAACCTTTCCAACAGATTTACAAAAGCCTTTCAGATCCTCTTGAGAAACATCATGTGGAATGCCTCCAATATACACTTCAGAACCATGAGGAGGACGAGCAAGTAGCTCAGCACGTGTCTTCTTTTCATCCTCGTCAAGTTCCCCATCGACATTTTCAACATCCTGATCTTCTTCTTCCACCTCTTCTTCTATTTCCTCCTCTTCCTCCTCTTCTTCCTCTACCTCCACTTCTTCATACTCCACCTCTTCTTCCATGTTCTCCTCTTGATCATTAACTTCATAGAGATCAACCCTCTCATCAGACTCAACAGGCTGTTCGGGCTCATTTCGCCTCGGCATCTTATGTATCTATTTAAACAAGCTTGCAATGCAATTCTGAAGAAGGCACAGAGGCCAGAAGAATTCAAGGGAAGAAGTACACACATATTGAAAGGAGGAAACAAAATGATGGCCACAAGGATTTTCAGATATGAATCTCAATTGAAACCCGTGTGATGAGATAATGACTCAAAAGGGGTTGCAAGGTTAAAGCCTTTTTCACCAAAGGAATAATTAAGCAGTAGATTTTTAAAGAGAACGGACAAAAAGATATTTCTGAATGATAATTAAGAGGCTTATGAAGTGGTGCAAGTTATCAAGGGATGAACTTGCTCAAAATCAGAACAAGAGTCACAAGATCGCTGAGAAAAAAAGAAAATATTGACATGTTTAAGCTTAAGCCAGCTTCATCCAAAATGTAATGCAAAGCAACAAAACAAAATTACATTGTAAAATCAAGCACGAGTTATTCAGATATTGAAAAATAAGTGAGATTATTATGGAAAATGAAAATCAAGCAACATAACCTAATCAATTACCAGTTCCAAACTAAATAAGCACCAAGATTCCTACAAATAACATAGTTTGATTGGAACAAAATAAAAATTGATTGACTATCAATAAAACAAGTTTTTACAATAATCCACTATTTCTACCACTGTTATTCAGCCTTCATAGTTCAAACAATTATACATTTTAACATTAAAAATTATGTAAGGCCTCTGACACTCGATTAACAAATCATCTTAACATGCTGACAAGGCAACCAAATACTAATATTCGATACTTCCATGCTTCGAGGTTTGACTTAAAGTTCAAAAACCAATTAATAATTCAATAATAATAGAGACTACACCCCATTCAAAAAATTCAGAACCAATAGCTCTTTTTCTTCCTACATTATCAGAGAAAATAAAATAACTAAAAGCTCTCAGAGCAATAGAAGAAAAAAGTCAATACAACACCACCAAATCTAGCAATCCATCTTTGATATAATAATTAAGGACCTAGGCCTACACACTCTTTTTTCTACAGCAAAAACTGCCAGTTCTTTGCAAGAACTTATTACAATATTCAGAAAATCTCTGCAGCAAATGAATGCATAGCCTCAAGTAGGAAGCTTTTTCTCCTGCCAAAAATACCCAGTTCACTTTTTGCACCTAATATGCACCATTCCCTTCATTTAAGAACACTTCTTTACCAACCAAGCCATTAAGAAAAATTCTTTACCAACCAACCATTAAGTAATCTAGAACTCTTTACCCTCTAACTAAAACTTCAAAATTTTGAAAACACCACTGAAGTTAAAAAAAAAATACCCATATCAAATCAGCACTCGATAAATGAAATTAGAAGAAAAAAACGAAATGGAAGTATACGTTGTGTATCGAGAAACAAGAACAAAATTGGAACTTTTAAATCATAGGTTTTGAGAGAAAGAGAGAAAATACCTGAGTTTTAACTGTAGAAAAAGAATCTAACAAGCTTTGACAACCGAGACAGAAAGTGGCTAAGCTTTACAGTGTGAAGTTTGGAGGTAAAACTGCAGAAAGGAAACGCCTTTTTTCCTTTCTTTTTTCTGCTCGAGAAGCAAGCAAAATATGGGTCGAAGCCTGAGTGAAGAACAAGAGAATAAATATAGAGGAACAAGCCCTAAAACTGTGATTGAAGACAGGTTGTATTTTTCTTATCTTTTAATATAATCCATTTTTCACATTTTCTTTTAGGCAAAACCTTGAAGGAATGAAATGAATTTGATGCAGATCCTTTATTGTTCAAGGATTTTAGTTTAGTTTTTTTTTTCAAACCACCTACACTTGTAGCAAATTTTATTTAAGGCATCCAACTTTCTTTATTTTCAATTTTGGGTTGGAAATTGTTAATTGGTCTGTAGATAATATTTAATTGACTTAATTCACGATTTGGTCCTTAAATAGTACATGTTGTTCTAATTTGGTACTTAAGGGGAGGAGTTTGGATGGGAGAATGTGGGATTCCCATGGGAATGGAATCCACATTCTCTCGTTTGGTTAGCCGGGAATCTCATTCCCGGTAATATAAGATTATCAATAGTGGATTTTTTGGGTTATATTATTGGGAATGTCATTACCTCCCTTTCTTTAAGTATTATTGGATTACCGGTGTTTTTGACTAAAATGCCCTTAAAAAAATTTCTTTCAAAAATATCCTTCTTCTGTCATTGAATAATAAAAATTCTACGAATGTTAAATTACAAATTTATCCTTAAACTATTTTAGATTTATAAAAAAATCTATAATTAAAATTTTATATGAAGTTCAGGGGTTAAAATAAAATTTTACCCATTCATTAAACATTTTTATATTTTTAATTTTGTAAAAAAATTATATAAATTTTATGAATTTAAATTTTTTAAAGAAAATATATAAGTATTTTCCAACTTGTTAAGAAAACAAATTATTCCTTTAAACCAAACACGGTAATGTTACATTCCTGCTAAACCAACCAAACACAAAATATAATATTCTCAGTAATACTATTCTCTGATAATCTTACATTCCATGAACCAAACGCAACCTAATTGTTTTTTGAGATACAAGTACAATTACAAAAACAAACACAATCAATACATTCAAAAACTATAACAAGAATTACAATTATATATGACAAAACACATTCAAACGAAACTCAAACCCATACATAACCAAAAATAAACATTATAATACAACGAAATTGAAATAGAGCTCGACCCAAGATAGAAAAAACTGAACAAAACTTGCATCAAGGATTCGAGGACCTCAACATTGCTACTGCGCCAAGGCTTGGTCGGCCTTATCCGGACTCTTGAAAAATTAGAATCCAGATAAAGCTTAAACGGCCCACTAGTTCCCAAAAGAGTGCGAGGAGATCCAAATCTTGTTTGAGAAACAGTTGGCCGTGTAAAAAATCAGGCATTTGTGTTCGTTTATGGTGAATTTATGTGAATGGCTCAACGTTTAGTTGCCTAGGGGTGTAACTAGATAAATGCTTTGTAACCCCTCAGACATATACGGATAGCCCGATCCGATCCGGGTTGTTATATTAGGGCCATCGGAGCGACTCACCATAAAAATAACGGAAAATTTAAAACTTTTTATCAAAACTTGTAAACTTATAAAATCTTTAAATCGGTTAACATATTTTCAGACTCGTATATAAAACAAAATACAATTACATGCCCCCTAATCACGTATATCATACTCTGCAAGTAAAACCGGAAGAACTCCCTTACTGAAATCGATAGCTACACTGGTACAATTCTTTTAACCTGCAATGGTGAGTAATAAAGTGAGCTTCGGAAAGCTCAGTAACACAGAACTACCAGATGATGCTTCATGATATGCAGATAAATGGAAAGCCATATAATTTCCTTATTAACTCAGATGTATACCAGTTTGCAGGATAATCTGGGGTTCATCGAGTAGTAGTCATGAAGATCTTAGTTCACAAGAAACATTCATAGTATCACGTTTTCAGGAGATCGAATAGGATGTCTAGTGTGTTCCAATTGTACGATAAAATCATAATAGGTACACTTATCAAATAATAGTTCAATAAATCTCATAAATCATATTGTACTGGAGTTTTTTTTAAGCTCGTAGTTTAAAACCATCGTATAAAGAGTTAACCTAAGGGAACATCTTATGGCCTGAGAGCCTACTTAAGAAAGTTCGGGGCCAAAGGGCCTACCTAAAAACACATCTTAGGGCCGTAGGGCCTACCTGAGAATGATCTCAGGGCCGCAGAGCCTACCTAAGAGTCACATTAGGTCCATAAAAAATTTACAGCTTGATCAGAGTTGTACTTTACAAATCCCTATCTCCAAGATACATTTTGTACAGTGATACAAATCCATAAGTCATCAACGTTAAGTCGGTGCATCCATAAAACATTAACCATAGATTTCAGTGTACCACATGTTAAAACAATAAAACAATTTTTTTAATATATATGGAACACACTAGAGAATCCAAGTACTTTTCAGAGGCATTTTGTAGTTATCAATATGGATAACATAAACCTGTGCAATTTGATCGAATTACAGGAATAATATCTTATTGAAGAGAATCGATTTCTAACCGATCTAATCAGACATTTCAGATTGATACTTTAGAATTCCACTATGTTTCCATATGCATCAGGAAAACGTTCAGGAACCTTTATACATAACAATTCTAGATTCAGATTTACTGCGAGTAATTCCATTACCCAAACAATCAAGGGTATTTAGGAATATACTTCATAGGATCTCAACTCAATTGAACCAAATAGGGTATTCATAATATTTTCCTTTTGTGTTACATGCGTTTTCAGACATGAACGAAGTGATTTAATATAAAAATATAGAAACAAAGATTCAAGAAATTTACAATCCATGTTGATCGATCAGCTTATCGAACAATCCGAACTGAATAACTCTCAGAACTAATGCATGTCGACCCGTCAATTTACTGTCTTTCTAGAGTATTTACTTTTTAATACTAACAATTCTTGTCCATAAATCATCTTAGTAATCATCGCTGAATATAACTTTCAATACTCTTTATTTCATTTCCATGTTTCAACGATATCAGGAAATACATACGTACTTGATTCATGTTTTATGACCCATAAGGACAATTCATCATGTAAGTTCAACAGTGTTCCCAAACTCATCCAATCACCCATTTAATCCTCAGTCATTGAGGTTACTCAGTTCATTTAGCAATCAAGTCTATCCCGGTTACTTCAGAGCTTTCCAGATAATCCAGATGTTTCTGAATTTCAGATACACATTGTACTTCCGTTCAATTCAATTTGGTCTTCGTGGTTGATTTGTCTAACGAATATCAATTTCTTATTACCGAATGTGATCTAGAGTTGAGCTGAGGTGAGTACTTTCAAAATTATCATCAAATCAAACTTGAGAAGACGAACACAAATTCAAATAATGCCTAATTCGTTCATGTACTAACATATCATTAGCGTTGGTCAACTCACTTAAGCTGAATTCCATAACTTTTAAGGGTAGTTCAACACTCATGTTTATTTGGATTCCTTAATTAATCCAAAACATTTACTTAATCTAGACCATAAGGGTATTTTGGTCATTTTGGTGCTAAGCTTTATTCCTTTATTTACAGAGCTCGAGGATATTCAATAATTCCTGAGCTTGTTGATATTATTGGGTCATTTCCATTACAGGAGTATTCTGGTCATTTTACAGATCCAGTGTATTTCAACCCTTCATTTCTATTTGATCTTATTATTTAATTCAAACGTATCATCTTTTCCATACCTTTCGAATCATTATGACAAAAGAACACCCTTGATAATTTATTCTAAACTCAGATATTTTCAGGTCATTTGCCTTCTCAGAAGTTACAAACAGGTTATCAGAATTTTTCTGTACAAAGATGGATCTTTACAATTTAATCTGTAATTTATCGAGTTAAGTACGAATCCTCAAAGTACTTTCTCATTCAAGGTTAACTCACTATTTTTACCACTCAATGGCATTTTCGTAATTTATTGACCAGATAACTTCGGTATTAACTCTTAACAAAATAATATAATTTAGCGATCCTATGGTTAATTGATTTCCCGAACATTCTCTGATCTTGAAATGATTCCTTAACAGACTTCTAGTATCTTGCACAAACCCTCTTGGGGTTAAAAACCAGTTATCCAAATCTTCTAAGAAAAACTAGCATTTCTTATGCACATTTGTAATTTTACCGGATCAATATGTCTTTTCAGAGTTATTAACCAACTTCCAAGGACAATTCTTGTCATCTTACAACATAAGGGTACTTTCGTAATTTTACCCTACTAGAGTATTCTCATAATTTCCCATCCAAGTACCTTTGATGAAATAAATTATATGTTACAGATCCAAGCTGATTCTTTTATCACTAAACACAGAACTTGTAAATTTTAATTCTAACAATCCTTCAATTTCTTATAAAAGTCATCTGTACCATAATCAGTTACCAAATTTTTACCGTATTCGAATCGAGTGTAGAAATTAATTAACTACTCAAATGAGACCAACATTATTTTATTCATGCATTTACCAATATTCACATGTTCCATAAATCATAAAGAGGTAGTAAAATATTACATCGATTTACATGTCATACTGATCGACCATAAAAATTCCATTCGAACACACTCGATCTTTAATTTATCTTTCAATAATTCTTCAAATACATAACAATAAATATTTCATCAAAAACGAGGCTTAATTTCAAAAAATAGATCGAATCGGGTGATTAATTAGTGAAAATAAACTTACCGTGTTCGAATTTGGTAAAACGGACCCCAAAAACGGATTCAAGACGTCAAAAAATGTCAGAATAAATATATCCGGTCAAAGTCAAAGGTCATTTAACGCCAGTCAAAGTTCTAGTAAACAGTGGTCAACGTCGGTCAACAATTAACGCAATAGTCGATTGTTTTACACAAATATCACCCTAACAGAAATTAATTATAAAATTATCCACCTTCTACATATATTTACAAAATTAACATCCGAATTTTACACAAATATTACCCTAATAGAAATTAATTACAAAATTAACACCCCTTATGCACAGTGGCGACGCATGCGGCGCGTGAACAATGATACGGTGTCGGAAAATTCACGAAAAATTCCTAAAAATTATTTTAAGGCATTTTTAGACACTTACCAAGCTCGGTTCACAATTTTGAATGGCGGAGAGCTCAATTCCGAAACATCGAAAACTTTGACTTTCTCACCCCTCCACGCGCCGACGATGACGGAGAAACGGAGAACACCGGTGGACTCGGAACGATGCAAGGAACACGATGGTGTGAGAGGTGTCGAAAACGGATGGTCGGATCGTCGTGAATCGACGAAAAACCAACTGAAATATAGTTAAAACCGACGATACTTCCGACTGAAATTAACGACGAACGACTATTCACGAAGAAAATTTTGAGGATTTTTGTTCATCGGTCGACGACGAACACGATGGTGATTTCGGTTCGTCGATCGAAGGTCGAACGACGAGTTGAAATTCAAAGGAGGATTGAGGGGAAACATAAACAATAGGGGAAATGGATTTATCATTCATCTTATAAAAAATGACTAAACCATGAGTTTAGTCATTGAATTTCCTGCACTTCTTAAAACTGTCTGTCAATTTTAAAATTTTATAATTTAATTCACCGTTTTTTTCAAAATACCAATTAAATTTAATACTTTATAATTTTTAAAATTTAACCCCTAAATTGGGTGTTGCATGCTTACTATTTCATGTACTCCGACACAGTTTGGGTGATATGTTGAAGGCATGAGAGTAGTTAGGGCAGTTCCGTGGACAACCTTCTCCATAAGGTTGCAGTTCGGGGCATTGGGAACCTGACCTGTCATTGAACTACTTCCACTCTTGTACTGGTATATTGAGCTGTGGCACAAGCAAACTTTGGGGTTTAGACTTTGATCTCCATCTCAGGGGTAGCCCCGATTGCACCTAATTAATAGTAACAGCCTCAAGTCAAACACAAACCAGGACAATCTTCAATTGAGATTTATTTTCCTCATCAACAAAAAGACTTTGTGGAAGTATTGATGTTTATATCATCCACGGTAATACCAACTATCCACCTCTACTTTTAACTACCGCAACACCTTAGCTTTACCTCCAATATCCACTTTAGCATCGACCGCCATCTCTCGTTTCGCCACGTCAGCGAAGAACTTCCCGGAGTGGTGAGCCAGCTCCATCCCGCCGAGCCGAGTCGGCAGCTTCAGCACTTGGCAAGATGGCCGCCCGGCTTTCACCAGAGTCCGTAGAAAATCGACATAGCGGTATCGGCGTCCACATGGGGAATGTTGAGCTTGATTGAAACGAGGTGGAAAGTCGGGTCTTCCGGTCTCGCGCTGACGAGAGCAACCACCGCTGTTGCCGACGCTGCTCCGACGAACGCGGAGGCCCAGCTCCATTTTTTCCTTTTGCCCATCTTTTCAGTTCAAAACCACGAAAATAACCTCATCCTACTTTATGCAGAAAGTTCGGAAAATGGAGCTGAAACTGGAGTGTCGTGGAAAGTGGATAGAAAGCTTGGAAGATGATAGATGAAATTACAAGAGTATCCTTGCATTATTAATTATATTTTGGATTCCAAAGGGCGTTTTGAGAAATAAAAAGAAAAGAACGAATCAAGTATGGAGCTGTCTAATTATTGACTTAAAGCATCAAATAAAAACGAGAAACTGAGTTCCATTATATTCATTATTCATATGTATGCATGCAAAGCTACATAGAATACATGAAGAAGAAAGAGGTGAAGAGGATTAAAACCAAATAACCGGAGCCAATGCAATTAACAATATCACTGCTAGATACACGGTGGTGTTTAGTCTGTTGACGATGACGGTTAGCACCGGCCGCATACACAGGGATCAGCGCTCCGCCCCGTTTATTGGATGACTTTGTCTTCCCACCAGCAGCATCGCCTGTATCAACGTATTCTCCTCCTCCGCCAACAGCGCCTCCACCCCTTTGTACAGCTTTGATTTCATGTTTGCCTACTAGATTAACCGACAGTGACAAATATTTCCTCGACACTTTCGGTTCTATACCAATATTGCTTCCAATACCCAAGTAATTAGCATTATATTTACTCAGAATTGATTAAAATATGATTCTTTTTAAACTTAGAAGATGGTTCGGAATATAAACATAAACTAAGATCAACAAGTTAAAAGAAAATCTTCAACGGAAAGTTTCCAATGAATCACCAGCAGAAAATCAATGAGATCGTCGAGTGAAAAACGAAGAGCAAAGAGAGCAGTACCTGAAACAACAATGGAATTTTGAGGAACTGCAAGAACAAGATACGGCTGAAGATAGAGCAGCAAGAAGATCAACAATCGCGGGTACTTGGAAGCGATCGCTTTTGATTTCGATCTTGTTTCCATCATCAATCTCCCTCCGAGAAAGAAAGGATATGGATTTAGCTTCGGGTATATTGCTCTTGAATTTATCTGTCTCATCAAAATCTAAGTCGGTTCCATGTTTCAATTTGATACAATGATACATAATATTTAGAGTAAATTTATGAATGGCCATCAATATTTTACGGTGCTTGTTTTTTATCACTAAATCTTTAAAACTTGTAATAGGGTCACTAAATTTTTAATTTGTTTTCACAATGATCATTATCGTTAATTGTTGTTAAGAAATACTGACATGACATATTAGAGTCATCTTATTCCTCAAAAATCATAAGTTTTTTGGACTAATCAATAGTTGTCGACCTTTTTTTGCTTGAATCATCACCATTTAATTTTTTATAATCGTTGTTGCCTCTAAATAGTACATCCACCAATCGTCATACTCAAGTACTTTATCATCTTTTTACGATCTTTGAACTATTAATCAACACCATTTTATTCAAATTCTGAACACCACAATCACCATCAATGACCATACCAACCTTGAGACACTATCACAAATCTCATTCGATTATTGCTCATAGTTAAAACCATCGATAGCAACGAACATGAAACAACAAAAACAAAGTGGTAAAAGAAAAGGAAAACATGCATTTTGATTTTGGAGAATTTATGATGAACAATGATCTTTTAGTTAAATTATAATAACATAGTTTGATTTTAAATTGATTTGACGGTTAATAATGACAAATAAAAAATTTAATTTTTAAGTCCAATTGAAATTTAAGAAGATTATAATATTTTTCGACGAGTTTGGATTGGTGAAAAAGAAAAATATTTTGATAACTTTTTAACCGAAAGAATTATCAAACGAGGAAAGAAATATAGTATCTACCAATCAATATTTCTTAACAACAACCGACAACGGTGATTGTAATTGGAACAAATTAAGAATTTAGTGGTTATAGCGTAGGTTTTAGAAGTTAGAGATCCAAATATAAGCATTCTAAAGTTTGTTGTAGTTAACGCAATATTTAACTGTTTGTTTTATATAAATATAGAAGCGTTTTTTATTCGCTATTCATGTCCACTCACTAGTGCCCGTCATTGTCAGTGTGAAAGTAAGAAATGAAATTCAATCACGATCCAATATAATTATTACTGTTATGGATGGAAAGAGATTCATCACCAGTGGAAAATTAACAATTTATCTAAGATTTTTTTTCTCTCTAGGAATTGTGCTTGTAGATTCACAGTTCATTTCTTACCGAATATTGTGAATGTATAGATACATTTTGAAAATTACCACCAACATGAAAATTGTGATTGTAGATTCACAGTTCATTTCTTACCGAAACTCAAATATAAATATTTCAACTCCGTTAAAACTATTCTACGGATTCGTAAAAGACCGAACAGTCATAACCAAATAACCAAATGCAACACCACCAAAGGACTGAAGGGTAGATTGCTAGAATAGAATGTGCCACAGTTTACAGCCTTCTCCCTCTTCTACCACCCTTCCTTCGGGTGCTGTCCGTGGGGATCGGAGTAACATCCTCTGAGAACATAGAATAACAATGTAAGGCTTTGACAATAATATGCAAAACATGGTTGTTTGTTTCCCACCATTTTAAAATACTAAGTAGTTGTTTATAAGAAAAGGCCTTACCGATCCGGCCGATTTTCATTCCAGATCGAGCAAGGGCCCTGAGAGCAGACTGAGCACCAGGACCAGGGGTCTTGCTTTTGTTCCCTCCCGTAGCACGTAATTTGATGTGAAGTGCTGTAATTCCAAGTTCCTGCTCAGCATGAAAGTTTACAATTCCTCAACAACAACATAATCATATCTTCAAAGTCTGCAGTAATAAATTAACATAGTTTTATGTAAAGAGACAATTCAATGTTTTTTTTCTTAATTGATAAAAAACAAATGGATTTGTATATGACCTTGCATCTCTGGGAAACATCTTGTGCCGCAAGCATAGCCGCAGAAGGTGAAGATTCATCCCTGTCAGCTTTCACCTTCATACCACCCAGAATTTTTCAAGAATTTCAAACTTCATTTTCAGGAAAAAAAAAATTCAAAGTGTTATGAAAGGTTATTCCAACTATTCATTTCCCTTGAAATACACAAATCCAAAAGCTATGTCTAACACGTGGTTGGATATGAGTAGCCTCCAAATATATAGAAAAAGTTGAAAAATGAACATACCCATGTTAGACATATACTTTATCTGAATTCTGAACTCACTAGCTCCAAAGTTCAATTCTTTAAACTTTATAAACACTTCAAATTATCACCTAGCTTTATTAGGAGGGGACCATGGTTGCTTGTGTAGACACACTTTATACGACCAAAATATGTTTATATGTATTATATATATAATTATATATATTGTATATTATTCTTTTTTAAACTAACACATTTTACATTTTTATTTCTGTGTCAGGCCCAAAATTACATTTGGCCCAGCAGAATACACATTGGTCCAACTCAGACCCAACACGCGCAACCCAACTGGAGCTAGGGTTTCCAGAACCCTAGCAGTTTCCCCCATCCAGCGCCGCATGCTTCCTTCGCTCAAGGACTCCTCCACGCCGAAGGCCTCTTATCCTTCACGTCTCCATGCTTCTCGGCAACAAACCAACAACGTGCATGTGGAAAACAACAAAGCATTAATGTTCCATTAGGACTTAAGCATGTAATCTAAAATTAGGTTTTTTATTTTAGTATAAATAGGCTTGTAATTAACACAATAAGGGGAGGATTTACACTGGATTCACACACGAGATCACTGTGTAACAACCACTCACACGCAATAGCCAAGAAGGTTCAAGCACTTGTAAGGATTTTCGAAAAAGATAATAAGAAAAAGAATTTTTTTTTTCTCGAAACCTTCGAGTCTAGATCTACTCCCGAGGCTTCATTTTTTGAGAAAGTTATTTGGATCGTTGGAACGAGTATACGAAGGGCTTCAATAAAACCGGAACTTTTCATATTCTATCGCCGGCGAGCGGCGGTCGACGCCGGAAACGGCGGCCGGAATCTGGGTTTTGGAGGCGGCGCTCATGTGTTCATCAAGAACACATGAACTTTCGAGAGAAAATCAGAGAAAGGGGGAGGGCTGCGGCGAGAGAAGAAGAGAAATGAATTTTAAAACGTTTTTTTGGTTTAAATACACGACCCGCCAACCCGAATATAACCCGCGTGTCAACCCGACCCACATCCTTGACCCTCGTGTTTCCTACTTTGAAAAGGGTAAACTATACTTTTGATCCTCTCTGTTTTTTAAGATCTCAATATGAACCCCAAATTCGGTTTTTTTAAACTCAATTTACTTTCGAACTTGACATTCTGTTTTGATTTTATTTAATTCTGGTCCCTTATTTATTATATATATATTTTTTATTTATTTCTTTTCGTTAATATGTATTATTAAAATATATATATATATATATATATATATATATATATATTATATATCGTTTTATATGTATATATTTGTAACAATTTGTTTATAAACCTATTATTATTGCACGTATATCCTAATTAACTTTGTTTGATTATTTTTCTATTATAGTTTACCATTATATATACCTATGTATACGATTAACATTTTCTTCGTTTTTTATTGATCTTATTTGTTATTTACTTTGCATTATATACGTACATATTCTTAAGTTTTCCTTTCATTAATTCGTTTTGTTTTTTTTTATTCCATACATGTTTTCTTTAATTTGTTCCTTTCTTTTCTGTACATATGTTTTATTATTGTTCTGTTTTATTTATTTTCCTTTTTGCTTTTTTTTACCTATTGTCGTTTTTCATTACTTGATTTCAACTAGTCGATTTAATTTCTTTTACTTTACCTAACGCTACTCGTAACTTTTTAAGGATGCATTTTCAAATTCATCAAGGGTAAGTTTTGGAATCGTTTTTTTACCTTTTAATTTAAAATTACAATTTTCTTACTAAAAGACAACTGGAAATTATATAGTACCGAAAGGGCAGTTCAAGGGTGCTAACCCTTCCTTGACTGTAACCGACTCCCGAATCCGACACATCTCTGGTAAAACGCAGATCAGGTAAGAAATAGGGTATTCGATCAACCCATTTGTTTTAAATAAATGATCGGTGGCGACTCTAATCCACATTTTTCAAGTCGAAGCCCAATTCCGGGGCCCAACCGAAAGACGGTTCCGACAGCTTGGCGACTCTGTTGGGGGCACAGGTAAGCGAGTCAGGCTAAGGTAATTTCCAGTTGTCTTTTTAATGAAAAGGGTAAGTTTGAACTTTAAGGTAACATTTCGATCCTTATTACTTACTTTTGATTATATTTTTTCGAGTAAATAGTTGGACTGACCGTTTTCTAATGATTTCAGCTTTCCAAACATTTTTCATCTAAGGCTCTAAACCCGAGCTCCGAACCCGTTTTAAGTGGGGGTGAAAGCGACGCCTTCGTGTGAATTTATTCACCGTATGGGCCTAGCAAGTAGCCTTCGGGATTCATATACCTTATGCCTTCGTGTGAATTTATTCTCCGTATGGGCATAAGGGAATGTGTCCTCTCGAGTTTAACTTAGTCCACACAAGCCTGTGATGGATTTCGGACTAAGGGTCTGGTCGGTCCAAGGGGGCGCCAGCAAGGAGAACTCGAGTACCGTTTTTAGAACCTAAACCGGGAGACTTTGAATAAATAGAGCCTACCCCAAAACCACATTTCAAAACCTAGGACATTTCTTTCCTAATCTTTTTTTGTGTCCTTATGTTTTTTCCTTTACCATTTTTTTTATTTCTATTTTACTAACCTTTTTGCCTTTGTGTTTGTTTAAAGCATTTGCATCATAACAAGAGGCCATTGATCCCTAAAAAGGTGTTTATTAAAACTCAAATAATCTGAATTCATGGACAAAGGTGTTGTAATACAAGAGATTGAAAACGCTGAGGCACGACTATGGTCCGAGAAGACTCAAAGTGAAAAGGGAGACAGTCTTCAAGGAAGCTATGTGTCAGAGTTGGTTCGCTATACCCCCATCAGCCTAAAACAGAACAATGTACAAGAGCTTCGAGATATTTGGGATAGTTGGAAGAATGATCGGAGACAGAAGTTCAGCCAACGGTACAGTGACATTGCACTCTTGCTTCATGTTAAGACTGATGAGCCCTTAATCAGAGCCATGGTTCAATTCTGGAACCCGGGATATAGTTGCTTCACTTTTAACCAAGAGGACATGGTGCCCACCATCGAAGAATACACTACACTGCTGCATTGTGAAAGCATCAAGCTTGAGCGAGCCTACATTAAACATATCAAAAACCAGCCCTTCAAGAATGCACTGGCCAAAGTTGCAGGAGTAGATGAGAAATGGGTAATCGATCGGACTCAGCGTAGAGGCAGTGGAGAATGAATTGAATGGATCCACATAAAGCAACTAATGAAAAACCACCCTGATGAGTGGAAGACTATAGACCTTTTTGCACTGGGTCTGTACGGTTTGATCATCTTTCCGAAAGCTTTGGGGTGCATTGACGCTGCCGTAGTGGAACTATTTGAGCAACTTTCTAAACGAGTTAACCCAGCACCAGCCATCTTGGCCGAGACCTTTCGATCTCTCAACCATTGCCGAAGAACTGGCGGAGGAAGATTCACCGGGTGCATTCAGTTCCTTCAGGTCTGGATTCACAGCCACTTCTGGAGGACTAACGGGGTTGCCTACCGCCGTTTCAGCACCACCTATTCACCTCTAGGTGAATTTATCACCTTAAAATGGCATGAAGGCGCCTCGAAGGAAAAATGGATGAAGGTCTTTACGTATCTTCAGGACCGGGATATTGTCTGGAGAGCCCCCTGGCTATTTCTCGGTGACGTTCTTTTCTGATATGGTGACTCTGACACTGTGACCTTACTTGGACTTTGGGGAGCCGTCGGGTATGCTCCGTTATTAGCACTTAGACAGTATGGAGCACGCCAGTTTGTCCCAGCAACATGCGGGTTGGCTAGGTCAGAGTTTGAGTATCACGGCGACAGCTATAAGAAGATGATCAAAGAAGCGGCCGATTCGTGGAGGAAAGTATTCCGGATGGATGTTGTAGCTGCCAGAAGCATGCTCACTCCGGATTATGTGGAGTGGCGAAGATTAAGAAAGAATGACAACATCCTTGTGCCAGACTGTGATGACACCCGAACCATGGAAGAACATCTCAGGCATGTCCCTTCTGAACTCGAGATAGCCAAGACCGAGTTTGAAGCAGTGAATAGTGAGCTGAAGCAAAGGATAAAGGAACTTGAAGCCGAGCGCTATCAGTGGAAGCTAGATGCTGACTCTCAGAAAGACCAGGCAAATAAACTGGAAAGAGAACAGAAAAGAGTATGTTTTGAGTTCGAAGACTTGAGAAAGGGGTATCAAGATAAGGTCAAGGATAACGCCAAATTGAAGGTAACCTCTGAATACTGGAAAGACGAAGCTCATAGCCTGAAAAGGAAGTTTGAGGGGCCTGATGAGAAAGCTTGGAAGGAACAGATGAAGACTGCCCAAAGACGCTTGGCAGATAGTCAATATCAGAACCAGTGCTTGAGAGTTCGGGTAACTGACTTAGAGAAACAGCATGAGAAAGATGGCAAGACGATAGCTGAGTTAGAAGCTATTGTGGATGGGTCAACAGGCAAGCAAACGAGCTTCAGATAGTGCCCTTCGACGGAGGATTACAATGGCGTTTCCGTTGGGAACAAGCACAGCGAAGGGTGAGGGTCTGAGACGCAACCATCCGAGATTTCCTGGATCAAGTGCAAAAAGCAGCCCGTCATCTTCACGGCCTAGCAAGGGAAGCTGTTGTGGTTCGACAAGGCATTCAACCAGTGACAGATGAAGGCAGAAGACTTGTCAACCTACTGGAAGTTGTTCGGGGTCTAGAGGATTTAGTCCGAATGTACCTTTAATCTGTTTTTATGTCTCTTAAAAGATAATACATTTTTGTCTGAACGAGGGTTATTTATAATAATGAACACTTTTCTGGATCAATGCCTCCAATTGC